GAAGAGAAGAGAAGAGAAGAGAAGAAAAAGAAAGGAAAGCAAAGCAAAACAAAATAAACCAAAGGGTACGGTAAGGTAAAAAATCGAGGACAAAACGAGTACTATACTTACACTGGAGGGTACGTGTCGATATAAGGAGCCAGCGGCTTATCAACAAAAGCACCAAAACCAAGACGGAATGACTTGGTAATCCCTGACATCTCCTGGGCTGAAACACCGAAAAATAACAAACACTTAAAATGAGGCATAAGTGAATATACTGTTAAAGTGTGTAGATATCAATCGAGGCATACACAACTGTATGATTTTCTTATTTGGTATTACATATTATTTACATATGTATATAGAGTATGGCCTCACTTTATTGATATCTACACATTTCACGATTCAATGCTACTGAAAGACAACTTTATTGTTCTTGAACATACTCTGTTAACGAAAAAAGTTTTAGCGTAGCGAGAGTACCAGCATTGCCAAGGGACGAGCGTAGAAAATACCGGAAACACAACTCCTTAAGCCACAGTATCTTTAATACTGAACATTTACATRAAGAACGTCAAATGGGAGAAGTTTTTGTTTCAGTGGAGAAGATAAAGTACGATATGCTGTACAGCGGTTTTGGTATGAGTGGGTAACATACGATATTGACTTACAGCACGTACACGGTACGACATGCCGTAGAGMGGTTTTGGTATGAGTGGGTAACATACTGTACTGACTTACAGCACGTACACGGTACGACATGCAGTAGAGCGGTTTTTATATGGAGGGGAAACATACGGTACTGACTTACAGCACGTACACGGTACGACATACCGTAGAGCGGTTATCGAACGAGTGCGAAACACTGATACGGTACTGCCTTACAATAGAGCAGTTTTCGCATGACTATGAAAAGCTCAGTGGCGTATGTGCCTTGCCGTGACCGTGATGTTTTCTAGTATTTTAATTGGCTGACTTTTTTATCGCGCAATGTGATTGGTCTGGCATTGCCGTGACCTTGGCGTGACCCTGTCCGTGTCGTGGTTATGCCGTGTTCCGGGTATTTGATTGGATGGAGAGTAAACTCTCGAGCAATGTGATTGGTCTGGCGTATCCCTTGCCGTGTGACGACCGTGCTCGTGCCGTGAGCTTTTCACAGTCATACGAAAACTGCTCTAAGTGGGAAAAGTACGGTACTGATTTACCGCGCGTACACGATAGACTACGACTTGATGCCGGCGAAACGATGTCAGAGCCTTGTTTTTCGATTTCGGCGCAGACGCTTCCGCTTATTGCAGCTGACCTTAAATCACCAAGGCTCCCCCAAAAAGCTAAACTACAAGGAAAGACAGTTTTCAATGACAACTTTCTAAACCTTCATAATACGGTCACTTCTTTAATAAGAACACTGTCCGTTTTAAACAGGTTCAAAAATATTGTTTTAGTACTGAGTTATTTCTATGCGTTACCTAGTTTTTTGCCTAAGGTTTTGACTTGCTGAATGTCTTCCAACATCGATCCTGACAGGTCCATAAGGTAGTAAAGATCAACAGGGTAATTCTCTGGCATTCGGACTTTGACATTGAAGGTAGATGGTTGTCCTAAATGAAGGTAAAATTCGTTTATCAAACAACAGGAATATAGGTTTACATAATCAGGTGTGCAATTTTATTTAGCAATTTCTGTTGTCGGGTTATTTTGGAAAAAAATTCGCTTCGAGGGATTTTAATTTTAATTCAAATAACAAAATTCAGTGCTTAGATATCATACTTAGAGTAATGAAAAAATAAATAAATCGTTCTTGTTTTTCGAGGGTAGCACTTAATAAACAGTGCCTAATAAACCTTTCACCTGCGTTCCAAGATCGAAATGAAGTTTACAAGTAGATTTTTTTTTTCATTTTTTTTTTTTTTTAATGTGAACCGATCTGTGGGTGATTTTTAATTTCATTTTCTTTCTTCTAATGAGTTCCTTTTATTAATCTTTGCCTACCACTCACTCATATAACCATCCACCCATTTATTCATTCATTCATTTATTTCATTCATTTAGTTGACATTTTCTTGAGTGTTAGACATGGGTCAAAAACACTCATATAACCACCCACCCATCCACTTATTCATTTATTTTAGTGCACATTTTCTTGTGTATTAGACATTGGCTTCCATTATAGTTTACATCTGTCACTAAACCATTACAGTCAATCCAACAAATAAGGTAAGATCAAAACTACTTCATTGTTGTAGAATTTGTTTCCAGAACCACTTAGCTTAATGGAAAGAGGAAAAGCCTTGAGGGATGTCATTCAAAACCAATTCATATRATGAAACTGCAGCTTCAGTCAATGCTGACATTTGTCAATTTATTTTACCAAATCTATAAATCAAAAATAGATTGTTGCTGAATTTCCTTTTGAGACATCAAACACATYCTCAAGCTATGATATGATCTCAACAAAATACTTTTGATCATAAACTAATCTTGAAAGATAAAATTTAAGGAAGACCACTTAAATTTTATTTATTTAGGGATTTAGAAAAAGCTGGTAAATGCCAGAGAGCAGACAGACTTTAAATACCTCTTACACCTTTTTTWAAAAAATATAATTTAATACAAAAGAATTGAAAAATAAATATAAATGTTTTGCCATTCATATGTTGAAAAAATGGCCAAAATCCATTCGTTTAGGTGGGGGGGGGGGGGGTTACCTGGACGTAAGCGAAGAGTTAAATTCTGTGGTGCAACTTTGATTTTGTCATCAAGACTGTCCACCTAAAGAAAAATAGGTTTGTCAACAAAGACAATGCAATGTGCTGGTACTAATTAGGAAGAATTGAAGCCAAGCTCTTTGGGTTAATGGACTTTTTTTAAGTGAAGTTTTAATTGCTTGAAACAAAATACATAAACATACATAATAGATATTAGTGCCTTGCAACAAAAAATAAAAATTTTACTGTCACTGTTAGGCATAAAAATATGTCCAGTAAATGACATTATGAATAATAAATGTGTCATGCTGAATATTGAGATGGACAAATCTGTCTTGACTAAATATTATAAAATGAAGTGAAATAAATAAAAGAAAAATATATAGCTCACAAGAAATTTTTTTCCTAGTCATAATAATTTTCTCCACCATAAAAACAACATGCCAGTAAGGAAATTCAATCATTAAATTTAATTTAATTCAATCTTTATAAGGGAATCTGCCACAACCTGAGTTAATAAGCATTGTGGTTGGGAGAAGATAAAAAATTGTTTTTGTTCAATCAAGGAAAAGATAAATYTATTTTTACACATCAAGATTATTATAATTATTTAAATAATGGAATGGAAGCTTAGTCAGCGCCAAAAATATTTCACTGCAGATTGAAATGATTAATTTTCCCTTTAGGCAAGTATAGCCTTGTAAGTATATTAATAAAAAAACTAGACCATATACACRTACATACAACTATACAAGTGTAATTCACATATAGTATAATGACATGATGCATGAATATTTAAAGTATGCCCAATTACTTACTGCTTTGGCATCATGTCCAGATAGAGGGTTCGATACATTCTTGCATTTATTTTCAAGATGTTTCTGTAGCATATTACATTTTGGTGTTTTTTGACCAAAGTAATTCTGCAACAAAAAATAACCATAATTAATCAGAAGTAGGTTATTGAGAATTTCTATTTTTCTCCATTCTTGCTTGCCTGTTTGCTTTGTTTTTATTCATTCTTTTATTTTTACCATACACTGTATGAGTGTGGCGTGGTAGTCATACCACCCTTGGCCTATTCTCTCTTGGGTCTTCAGGTCAAGGACCAGGGGTGCAATTAAAATGCATTTGTCTCTTAACTCTGTGATCCCAGGTTTGATTTCTATACAGCACATAGTCATAAGTAAGTAGATTCTGTCGCATCTCTCCCTTGATTGAAGGGTTTTTCTCTGGGTTCCTGTAGAATTGTGGAGTCACATCCACAGTTCTAATTTTATTTTTTGTAAAGTAGGTACATATATTTATTTATACTATATTTACCAAATCTTGACACCAAGCACACTCTGGGCTTAGTCTTATACAGTCACCACATGTAAGCTGTTTCTGACATTCTTCAGATATATCTCCAACAACTAAAACGAAAAATGAAATTAAAATTAAAAATATATATCTAATATATGTTTATGCAGCATGCAGAACTTTTAAAAAGGTTAAAGGGTTTATAATTTCTTATGTTGTACAAAAAAATATATTTTATACTCTACTGGGAGGGTGTGAAAAGTTTACAGAAATATCATATGTAAAATATAAAAATAGCGTAACTTGGCAATAATTTACCATGATTCAGCAGTAGCACTATGCATGACAGTGAAGTGAAAGCAGATCTCATAAGAGATTCCTTAGACATCAAGTGACTGTATTCAGAGTGCTTATAAACCATCTTTCTTTTGTCTTAGCTTAGCTCAAAGATGATCATGGGTATGAGAAATAAAGGAATAAGAAATAAAGGCTTGCAGTCTATAATTATGGGTGGTGTACATAAATCAACATTTGCATATTAATGTGTAATGGAAACCCCCCCCCCCCCCAATTTTGTTTTACTGAATTTTTTTAGTATGAATTCTTTTTTGAATTTTGACTATAAAAAACTAAATTCAAATTCCACTTAAGGCCCTATTTGGTAAATGTCATGCTCAAGAAATCTAATTTTGCTTGTATTTGAAATTATGAGGATGCTTGCTTTCACAGTTACTCTGTAAGGTATGACTAGTGTTTCCAAARAAAGAGATATGTCATCAACTATTTACTTTGTAAAAGATGGAGGATCTATATACACAAAGTTCTGAATAAAAAGTGTAGTCCTCTGATATTCTCAAAATTTGTTCCTAGAAACTTTTCTTGCGTTCCATACCAAATTCAAACCAGATAACAAAATATATTCTCTTTTTTTTAGTTTTGAATTTTTTTTATTTTTTTTTCTGTACACTACACAAGTTGGCCCTCACACCTGTATGGCCATAAAGGGGATTTTTTATATACACACTAGCTCGAAAGGATGATTTATAAAATGTTTCTGTTGTTAATTTTTACTTAAAGGAGGATCTTTACTGACAACATTTTTTATATTTTGGTTCATGATAGCATAATAAATCAAACTTCAAGGAAAAAGCAAACAGATCCTTTAAAGATTGGAGAAAAAACAATAACAAACGAAAATTTGAGAAAAACTGCAATAATTTCTGATAAATTATTTTTTTCAATATTGATTTGGAAAATGTCAAAACCCATACAACCATATACATTTTATACCATACAATTTTATTTTTGAAATCTTTTTCCAAAACTACATAATATTTTTCAATTTATGCTAATGAAATGCTAATATTGAAAATGTTGACAAAGATATCCTATTGAGTAAAGGTGCTTCTGGAAAATTATTAAATACGGGAATTAAATGGGAAGAGGAGAATTTCTAGGGAACAATAGAAAAAATGGAATAATTCCCCTCCTAGAAAGTATACTAAAGTATACAATATTGTTGATAGTATAAGAAAAATTTAAAGGGCTTGGTGGGGGAAATTTCTGAATCAGATCACTTTTTAATTCCTAGTTTTATATATCAACTCTGAACAGCAACAAAAACAAAGTCAAATGACAAAAAAAAAAAATGACACAAACTAAACTAATCTCCTTGAATTCAGATGTCCAAGAAGGAAGTATTTTAAATCTGTTTAGTGGGGTGCCACTGGAGTTTGATAGGAGGCTATTACTTTTCCTCAACAACAGTTACACAGTTATGCAAATTTATTTCCACATCATTCATAAACTATCCTGGCAGGGGTCAACCAAACACCATGGGGGGTGGGGTAAGTAGGGGAAATGGGCATCCAAACAAATATATTTCAAGGATGTAAAACAATAAAAATGCTTATCAACACATATAAACACCCCAAAAACAAAAACCTTTATTTTCTTGCAATACCTCCCAGCCATATTTCTTTCTTTATACTTTTATCCATAAATTAGTAAAGACATATTTTTCATACAGAGGTACATATTAATCTGATATTCCATTGAAATCTGTTTTAAAATATGTCTTCAGGAAAAAAATATTTAAAATTATTTCAAAATTTAGAAAAACACAAATGTTATATGTTCATATGGTAAATAATGAAATACCAATCAATAAAGGACAAGAAATTTGATTTTATCTAGGTATTAAGTTCATAACGAAGCTCACAAATGATGATGGTCTCATAGCGATCTGTTTACATTTTGAATTGAAAGCTATAGGTTAGGAAAGCACAAATATATTATGTAATCTTTAGTAAAAAAACTGTGTTTTTGATAGAGTACCAAGTGCTGTAAAAATCATGTGGTATTTCTAACTTCTGAATAATTTTATTTCAAAGGGAAGAGTCAATTTTTTTAAGACGAACTAAGCAGCTTAAATTCCTTATCAGGGCTGTAAGTATTAATAAATTATTCAAACAGAAAACAACAAAGCATTATTTTTCATGAGGAATCAAACAGTATTTATTATGTTTGTATATAATCATCAACATTTAATATCTAAAACCACTATAACATATACCTACATCTGGCCTGATTTATGAATTACAAAATTCATCTTCAATTTTACTCTTGATGAATAAAAAACAGATGAGTTTGAAAAAAAAATCAATTCCAAAAACTTAAAACCCTTGCTAAAAACATAAAAATATGTTCTAGAAACCAGCCACTTTAGGATGAAGAGTTATTCAATTAGGTCTCTACAACATTAGAAGGCCAATCACTTCTCGATTCCTTGGAAGAAGGGAATTATATAAGTACCTGAATGACACAACCTACACTCCAGGTGCTTGGAATTTACTGAATGCAGAGGGTAAAACCCAGTGGAGATGTTTCAAACTGTGGGCACAAGTTTAGAACGCCCTGCTGATACACCTCTATGAAAGTCATGTAGGGATTTTTTTAATAATGATTTTTTGTGTGAGCCAGAAAAACTTCCATTCTCTAGTAAGCTGATTTTCAATCTTATCATAAACTAATCTTGAAACCACATAATCTTCCAAGGTGTCAGATGGGAATACAAGAATGAAAGTCAAGTATACGTAGATTATCATACGACAATTTGGATGCGATATTTTTTTAATGACACGGAGTTTCCTGCTGTTATGCTCTATATACAGATGTGTGGTTGAAAAGTGGTTTTTCCTATAAGTGAACACAGAAACAAACGATTTTGACTGAGTTCAAATCGATCACAGGACATTTTCACAGTAGTAAAATAATTTCTCGGCATTATTGTGAAAATTAAGATTCCCACCTGAACAAAACTGCGGTTGAAATAAAATAATTTTTCGACATGTTCATAATATAACTTACACGAAAATATTTCGAAGTATCTCAAAATCCACGTGTGAATGAAATAATGTACACATGTAACACAGTCGAACAACAATGAAAACATAACATTTTCTATCTCCGTCAAATTTCTAAATTGTCAAAAGCCATGCCTTAAGCTCATTTGTGAAATTAGTTTCAAATAATCAAGTAAATGAAAGCTGATCTGTTTTTATACCGCTCAAAAATGACTCAAATACACAAACAGTGTTTCAAAAAAATTGGCGTCAACTTCTAAAACAAAATTGTTTTCCAATTAATTAGACCTAACCTAAATACCTACTGGCGTAGCTGTGGGTATATTTGACGATTAGCGTCTCATTTTTTTATTTTTTTTTGAAAGATCAAGATGAATATAAATAATGATAAGTATTTTTTGACGTGCTGCGAGTACAGAAATAATGAAGTCGTCACGTAAGTAATACCAGAAACATAAGGTCATAGTATTCAGTAGTCACAAAAATTAGAAAAGCTAGAAACCTAATTAATAATAATAATAATATAATCTGCTTACCAAAAGATATTGCAGATCCTAGCAAAACAATACCAGTGAAGTATATAGTCTTCAACATGCTTATCTCTGGTCCCTGTAAAAAACGACAATGCATAAAGATGAAGTCCAAATGTCTTGTTGTCTTGGATTCAAATTATAAATGTTTAGCATTGGGGATTATTGTATTGAAMATGAATTTCACATTTCATATCGACATTTAATCAAAAACACATCCCTCTACATCAACCGCTACCTATTGTYAAAGGCTTGAGAGCCGCCTAATTTCCTTCATTTCCTCTAGAAAACAAACATTTGGTGCCTTTTATATGTCATTTGCAATARTAAGGAGCTTTGAAATAGTTAGAATTCGCGACATATTTGATGTCTAACGCGGGATTTAGTCTCCAGCATTAATTCCATGTCAGTGCATCGATTCTAATCTTTCTGGAACAGAACAGTTYCTTAGAGTTCCTAAATATACGCAGGCCAATATTCTAAAAGCGTTTGTAATCTAACGGCTTCGTATGAAGAGTAAAAGAACAGCTCTTCGAGCCTCCAGAAGACAGCTTTACTCATTGGTGTCAATGTTATCATGAAGAGAAATTTTTTAATGATGTCAAGCGCCACAGAGTCACGCAGGAAAATAAATGATGAGAGCTCAAAAGAGAACAAAACGAAAAATTATTTAGACACATTTCTGGGTAGACAAACGATTAGTTAGTCTAAATAATGGAGCAGCTGTTCGAGAGTAAATACAAGATGTACATTAATGAAGCTTGTCTCGTGCGCTTGTGTGTTGGCGTTGGGCGCGTAAATCATTAGGTAAACCTAGATTTTTGCTTTGGTTTAAATAATTTTTTCTTGACACTACCTGTTTTGCAAATTGAAAGAAAACTTGACAGTCGCTTCAAGATAATAGAGTATGCTTCAGAGAAAATAAAGGTTGGTGATAAAAGAGCTACTTGTCGAGCGGTTCAAAAAAGTTTTGCTGTGACTGGTGGTAGTGGCCTCAGAGTCATTCAGCAAGCGAGCATATATAGTGAAGCAGCTCTGAACGAATGACAAAGAAGTTCAACTCATTCGAAACATCTTGTTTTCCAGCTAAACCCAGATATATCCACACAATGAGGTGTTATTTACCTACCTTTTTGAACTGAGGTTCTTGGTATTGAGTTTAAGGGCGGCTTTGCTTAGCAGAACAAGTGCTGCCTGACCAAGTATTCCATAACATCCGAACACGTTACCAGAATATCGAAGCAACCGGAAGCTGACTTGTCGAGATTTGCATGCCAACTATGTGACGTCACGACACACCCCGTGACCAATCCACAGACCACTGATCCTTGATCAGGTAGGACGCCACTAAAATATTTTAGGAAGCATTCCTAATTGCAGAGATAAGGATTCATAACGATTATCCAAACCCATCTGACTTGCCTGGCTGTAGATCCAATACAGTAGCATAAAACAACATATTTAGATGGCTGCAGAAGTCCCTGGATGTCTAGATACAGTAATCGAGTAACCTTTTCAGGYAAAGCAACGTAATGAATTGAATGAATGACTGGGAATAAGTGCGAATTGATCTTAAACCACCAGTTTGATAATCCAAGACAATGGTAGTGATAACGACGGCCTACCACAAACAAGAAGATACCGCTAATGGCAGTAAAAAGGTTTCTTTTCACATCCGAAACATTTTTAATTCTGTTATTATAATTGAGCTTGGAACTGATATTAAAACAAAGCCACAGGCGACTAAATGAAAAGAGTGCGAAGAGTGAAATAGCCTTAAGAAAATTTCCTGCTTTTTGTAGTTAAAAATAGGAAAAATATAAATAAAGATATGTGATTGGCTTTTTACCCCGATGTGAATACTGTATTTCTTGGACCTACTTGAGCACAGGAAGTATTTCCCAATGCCATTCAATTGAAGTAGACTAAATTCTCAATTTAAAATGCGTATCCAAAAAATGTGATCGATGGTATTGAGATCCTGGTGTTTATGTTACTGGGCTTCTGGAAAAGTCCTGACATGATCAATCTAAAAAAATAACCACAAACGCATTCAGTAAAACTGATGAGCGATGTATCCGGTCAGTCCAAGACGCCAGAAAATCTCGGAAATCTATTTGACATTTGCCTTTGGAAAACCAAAAAATAATTGTGTCGTATTTGAATTGGAGTGTTATGGCACAAAATGAAAGAGTTTTGATACACATAATGAAAAAACGCTTATGAAACTATTCTAAGTAATTGGGTTTTAATAAACATATTTAATCTTAGGCTCCATGTAGAATTTAAAGACTAGCCCTCAAGCCCGAACATGCAGTCTCGACGACCAGGGCGAATTAAGAGCAGCAGGCACTGCCAGGTGAAGTAGAACCGATGGTATTACGTCATTAGCAGCAAGGGAAAAACAAATTATCTTGGCTGCGAAGATCGACTGAATGCTTTTCATCCTAAATCAGCGAGAAAAAGACCAAAGCGGACTTCAAACTCTACTTTCAGTTTCCAATGCATAGATCAGGAGAGTCGAAGGGTGACCGGAAAAAACTGCGCTAATTTGCATAAAACTATGTTAAAGTAGCGACTCGTTATGAACATCTGCGCAAGCATTTTTCCCCCATTAGTTAACGTTGCCATGTCCCACAAGCTAAGAAATTCATCTACGATATATATATATCCAGCATTTAAAACTTTTCTTTTCTTAATCCTTGTTATACAGTACTCTTCAAACTGGCATTTTTATCATTAGTATTCATAATTTGTAAATTATCGAACGAACGAACGAACGAACTGAACGAACGAACGAACGAAGGTATGAATGAAGAAACGTGAAACATGAATGAATAAATTAATCAGTGTAACTAAAGTCAGGTCATGAAATAACGAAAAACAAACGAAAGAACGGAGGAACGAATGATATGAATGTATGCAACTAAAGTCAGGTGATTATGAGTCGAGGACTTGCTATTACTTACCCTTAGTGCATTTTCTCAGTAATCATTAGTTCTACGCTGATTGACAGATTTATTTTGCGGTTTACACCTCACGAAATCGTAGGAGCATGAAAAACTAAATCATCGGGAAAATGATAATGATAAAGAATTTTTTACCTTTATTGGTAAGAAACTCAATTAATGCTGAGGCATTATTTTACATCGAGGCCAAGATAAGTATATAATGGAACCGGGAAAACATATAATATATATGATGATTCCCTAAAACACGTCTACTAAATAAATTCCATAATTGGGAGATTTCTCTAATACCCATTATTATATTATTTCTCTTGGAAAATTGTCAATTTGACCTTCTAAAAGGCATTCCCTCTGGCCACATTGGTGCCACAGTTTAAATTGGAGGCTTTTAAGCAGAAAACCAAATTTCATTTATATAAAAACAAATCATGTCATGCTTTAATGCTTTTTTTAGCGCGCGGCGCGCACTTCCAGTACTTATTAAAAATAGAGTTACTGTAGTAAAAAGCTAGGGACGGTAAGAACATAAGATTTCCAAATTCCACAACGGCGACGTCAACCGAAGGTGCAAATCATTGACTTCTCTTTACGCGGGTTCTGTTCATCGGAGATTTTATTCAAAATATTGTCGATAAAGTCAACACATCCACAGGGATAAGGCAGACTTTGAAGGCATGAGACCCCTAATACTGGGAAGTTTACCGGCCTCCCGTTGGCGTCGCCGTCTTCAAAACTTCAAGTTAAGTCCTAATTCAAAACATCTCTCACGCATGCGGACAATCCTCTCCAAAGGACGCCCAAGCTTTTTTTTTTTTTTTGAAACTATACTTCTGTAATTCACTCCTTTCTAATAATTTTAGAAAGCCATATAAATTTAAAACCCGCTCTTTTTTGTTTCCTGAGCATTCTTTCTGTCCTTTGGTATACCAGAGTTTCAAACCGATATGGGATTTCTGTGTCACCTCCATCGCCCCCTATAATTTGGTTCCTCTTGGCAAAAAAATGGCGGGCAGCGATCCGGTAAAGGGGTACTGATTTCAGAACGAAATAAGAAACGTTTGAAAACACTGTATTGATAGTACCAATATAATTTTTACATTTTGATAAAAACTACTGAATGCTACGACTGCAATGAACTTTGCAAATTTGTTGGTAACGTTTACAAGTTGGTCACTTTCATTTCCTAGTTCCGCTACGCAATGCGCCTCAATTAGAATTATTGACAGATTATTAACTCTCTTTTAGAGGTAAGGTCAAACAACGATGGTATGGATATCGTCCGAACCTCTTTCCTCTCAAAGATTTGTTWAAAAATTTTATCATGCACTGCGCATCAATCAGAAGAGACACAGCTTTACCTTTTTGAAATGCTCAGCTGTGCGTGCAGCAAACATTCAATTCTGTAATTTAACTTTTTAAATTTGGAGATATCCCTTCAATCTCCAACCCAGAGTTCGCATTCCTCTTAGTCCGCACCTAGAGGAAAGACACGAGATTGGAGATATTTCAGGACAAAATTTAGGATTTTACTTGCAGAGGTGGCGGGTACCGAGTAGCCGCCCTACCGACCTTTCCCTATCTTCAAAGATTGGGCTACCTGTGGTACTACGTTTCGTTTCAAGATGGCGCCAAAAGTAACACAGATTAAATTCCTGCCCGTTATTGGCAAGTAAAATAGTCAAGAGAACCTGAATATTCGATCTTTTACGATGGAGAACGACACCCCTCCTAGAACAAAATCAAAAGGTATGTAATTTTCATAACGAGATGTTTGAAGTAGAAAGAAGAAACAGGATTTCTTAACGTCAAAAAAATTTCAATTTGTTTTGAAATATAAAGCGTCCATAGTTACGTCTAGTTTAATACGCTGATATTACATGCTTTTAAAACACACTTCTTGATTTATATGATTTATATAAATGTATAGTTATATTTCTTTATGCTGGTTCAAACTATGTTTTGCTAGTACATGTTACATCTCATTACAAAACCTGCTCTTTTTATACATAGTAACCACAGAAATCTCTGTTTCTCTAATTGCAAAACGAAACGTGAACACCAAGGAACTATCTGCAGACAAGATGTAAGTCTTGGTTGTGATGAAGATGTATACATTTTGATGATAGAGTTCTTGTCCTGATGATAGCAAATTGGGGACCACTCATTTTTTAATTTGGGGGTGGGGGATCCACTTGGTTAAACCATACCGCAAAAATGGCCAACTCATTCATTCTTTCATGTGCCCACTTCTCCCCTCTTGAGCTGCTAAATCCCACAGACTCTCCAGCCTCCCTGATAAAAAATGAATGGTTCCTCTGGAATTTTGAATAGACAAATAATGTTGAAAACTTATCAATCTCACTGTCCCACACTCCACACCAAGACAACTACATGTAAATGGCAAGACACATTAGTCCACTATTGATAAGAGGTTATGAAACAATGTATTGCTGTTGCTTGCAGTGTTTCAAACAGGTTCCTGAGTGACAATGAAACTTGACTATAGCTGCCAAAATATGGAATCTATTTTTTTCCCAATGTAGCTTCCAATATAGACTCTATCACTCTATTGACATTCTACAACCATCCTAGCAACAACCCAATTGACATTACCTTAATACTTAATTTCAATTTTGAAGTTTGCATTCTTTACTATTTTAATATCATTGCACCACCCTGATAGTATAGAGCGTTTTCACGTGAYGTCACAGCGGCCATGTTGCCGTACCAAAACAATACCTTTTCTATCCCTGGACAATTGAACTCTATTTTCATGCAAAAGCTTGCAGAAATTAAGTTTGTATCGTTTGGTACGCCAATATGGCTGCAGCCTTGTCACGTTTATCATCCATGGTAAAACTGCTCCATATTGAGTGTTCAAATTAATTGATTTAATAAAAATGAAAAGCAAATTCTATTTGTTATCAGAGCTGATAGCATACTGACCTTGACCCATGTTCGTTTGGACCGTGAGAACATCAAGAATATTGATAATTTGGATTGTCTTGGGCCTGTAACTAATCTTTACTTACAAAATGTAAGTAGTTTGAAAATACAAGTAAAAAGTGTATTGATTAATGGAGGCATGGATCAAGGGCGGATCCATTCAAAAATTTAGGGGGGGCTAATTGAGCTTCCTCTGTTAACACAACGAAAACTGCAATAAAAAWTTTTTTTCTGCTAAAGTGGGGCTTCAGCCCCCCTTTGCCTCCCTGGATCCGCCCTTGTGGATATTATGTTACATTATTATATATATTATGCCTGAGTTTAATATTTGTTCTACAACTATTTACGTCAACATAATTATGCCATCTGATTTTCTTTTTTAGAATGAAATCACCAAAATTGAAAATCTTGATCCACTACCCAAGCTTAGGTAAGGTTGATTAACAAGACCTATTTTTTTGAGTAAAACAACAATCTATAATAAAATGTTGCAATAATTGGTTAAAATAATTAATCAGATTGATTCTGAGTTTTTTTCCATTAGGTTCCTTACACTTGCTAACAACAAGATCAAGAAAATTGAGAACTTAAATCATCTTCACTCCTTAATGTTTCTGGATTTAACAGACAATAATATTGAAGATTTTGATCCAAGTAAGTGTTTTCAGTGTGTTTTTTTGCTACATGATTGTTAAAGGCAATATTGATTCTTTCTGTTACCAAAATCTTATCCATGGACCRGCCTTGAAATATATTCCTTTGCTTGTTGAATCCTTCTTTGGATCTTATGACAAGAAAGCATTAAATGAATTCCAATTGGAATTTAGAAGTTGATTAATTATGAGGAAGGAAAACTGGTGAAACTGAAAAACCCTCGGAGCACAGGAGAGAACCAACAAACAACTCTACTCACATAGGACACCAAGACCGGAAGGACTCAAACCTGGCTTGCATTGGTGAGAGGCAAGCACTCTCACTGCTACACCACCCATGCTTCCCAAGTATTTCCATGTTTTGCTGACTTGCTTTTGTTTTCTGCTYGTAGAGGAACTTCCTAAAAGCTTGATTATTCTAAATATGAGTGGGAATCCATGTGTGATGCACAATGATTACAGGTCTGAATTWAAAAAGTATTAGGTATTTAAGTATCTTAGACTGCAAGATTGCCTTCCAGAATTAAAAATCTTGTTGGGGGGTGAAAGGTATTGCTTGATTTCACTAGACGTCATTTCCTGTTTGGTGCAGAATGTTCATCAGCTAAATCATAAATTTTCAATAGAATTCTTTCTGGCTGACAGCACATGGTGGTCAGTGTTTGACCACCCAGATAATGAGATTCAAAAACTTTTATTTTATCAGCTGAGTGAAAGCCAGCAATGTAAAAGGATTTGACTAAATGAAGGCTTGAATTGGGTTTCCTGTGTTTCCTACGCATTTTGAAAAAATGCTCTCTCAAAAGTTATAAAAGTTGAGGGGTACAAATCTGTAGGAACCACATTCACAAACTCATAATGATACATATCCACTATAAATTGCAGTATTTGGAACTCAAAGAATGAATGTTTCTCATAGCTGTATACACTGACATCCTATAGGGTTAAGATACTACAGTCACTTGATAAACTTGAACAACTTGATGGAAGCAACATCACTAAAGCAGACCGACAACAAGCTGGCTGTCCAGTGTAAGTAATATAGTTGTTCTAGAGTGCATACCATTATATTCACATGAAAAACTTTGTAACAAATGTGCACAAATTAGTAAGATCAGTAGACCTTAGCAGACGTTAGAGCTATAAAACTTTGCACTAATTTTGTAACTTTTTTTGTTATTTGTTTTTAAATTATTTAATTTTTTAACTTTTTCATGGATATATGGTATGCACTGGTGTAGCTCTATGTATTTGTGTTTTAGCAATGAGAGTGAAACAGAATCAGATGATGAAGATGAAGATGAACAAGAAGAAGAAGATGTAAATGAGAATCAGGAGAATACTGAAACAGGTGTGCTTAAAAATCATTTTGTAACTCAGTGTAGGCTTCTTTGCGTTCTAAATCTAAATCTTTAATCTGCAAAGGTTTCCCATCAATACAGTAGTGATGCTCTTGTGATTATTTTGTTTTATTTCGTATAAAAAATTGAAATTAGGACTTTTAGACTTTATTTACAGACACGTGCTCGTATATCACCTTAGTTGCGTGACTGTTACCTTACTTTTTGCTGTTACAATATCTTTTCAGGCACGCTAGATCAACATTGCAACGATATTCTCGTTCGCGCCAAAATTCGCACCATGAAAGTAAGTGTTTTTTTAGCATATCTTCCATGCCTCGATAAGTTTATTCATAACCGCAGACCGACCTTTATCAGTATTTTAAACAGTTATCGTAGAATGATAAGTTATACACCGTAGTGAAAATAGTAACTGACGTTTCGGACGTTAGTCCTTCGTCGGAGTTGACTCCGACGAAGGACTAACGTCCGAAACGTCAGTTACTATTTTCACTACGGTGTATAACTTATCATTCTACGATAACTGTTTCATTAGAAACACCGACGCAGTCCACGCTAGTGTTTACTAGCCATCATCTAAGTATTTTAAGCATCTTTGGTGTAAAACTCATGCGTAACTTCTAATCGACTTCTTGTAAAAACGGCGCTAGAATGTTTGTACAACTCACTTGTTCACTCATCAGGGCTTGAAATAACGGCTGGTAAGTCGCCGCTCATGATGAACGTTACGTTGTTCGACTGGACAAGTTCCAATTCTGGACGGACATTGTCCCATGTCTGGTCGTTATGTAAAGGAACAAACACTAGGGCGAGGGCATTGTTAAAAATAAAGGCCGAAGGCGCAGCCCGATCCGTGATTTAGAAACAATGGATTTGTATTTCATATTGATTTGATATGAATGTCCCCGGGACAGGTCTATATTTTTAAAACATAGACCTGTACCGGACATTATTGAGGAAAACAACCGCATTACACGATGGGATTGGGGTGTGACTGGTTATTAATTTAAGGCTTTGCTCATGCAACACCAAATGAACCCACTTTTATCAACATTTTGATTGTCCCCATATATAAAACGAATATGTAGAGGATATTACATGGGCGCGCGGAGATACGAAATTTATCTTCGAGTGTTGAAAAGATCTCTCACAAGTGAGCGTAGCGAACGAGTGAGAGATTTTCAACACGAGAAGATAAATTTCGTATCTCCAAGCGCCCATGTAATATTCTGTTTATTATATAATTATCAATGAAAGTATGTTTTTGCTTTTTCAGGCAATTCTTTCCGTGTATTTTTGAATAGTCATCGCAATGGTGTTATTTTCACGTGTGAAGATATCAATTTTTCGAAATAGAGAAAAATAGATATTTCATTGGTAATTATATAATAAAAAAGGATATTCTACTCGACGTCTTATCAAGGCTGCGCGCAGGTGAACAGACAACATATGTGTTTCAGTCACGCGAGGGCGACAATTCACCAGAATCCACTTGGGTTTATCAGCATTTGAATCGTCTGTATAAAAGGGCAAAAGTGTCCTTAAGAATCCCCCTTATTTGAGATCTTGTCACGGCTGCGCGCAGATGATCATCAACATGCTTTATTTTGTTTTTCATCTTTATTTGAGATCTTGTCACGGCTGCGCGC